TAAAGCTGATTTGGTTTGCCCTGATTGTTTTTAAAGATTCTGTATGTTGTATTAAAGGATGTACACTTAATTTTATACTTTTTACTTTTATATAATAATATGTAAATAATTATCCCTCTAAAGCAATTTCAAAACATCTAAGAACGTGTTAAATATTTACTGCAAACAATAGAAGTAATCATTAAAATGTATGCATTAATTTCTTACTTCGACTTTAGCGAAAATAAATTTCTAATTATCCCCGTTTATTAACATGACATGTATATTCGGTAATATCTTTACAAATAATGCTTTTTGAACTTACAATATTGATAAATCTTTATTTGAGCTTCATATTAATGTTATAAAAACATAAAGAAATTGAGTTACAGGGTCTTTAAGAAATGCTTAAAGCTCTTTTAGAACTGTTCTTTAAGATAAAAATTATTGCTTTGTTGTTGATGTTTGTTGATGTTGAAGCGGTTTTATTGTGGCAATTCAACAAGCATGTAACGACCTAACACAGGTGCAATAGTCTAACTTAAACAGTATGAGAAGAATATAGTACAAAATATTATAATACATTTATTTTAATACTGCTACAATTCAACACATTTATTTGATTAAATGAAATGTCTTCTGTTGATATGTTTCGTATTATTCGATACTTTTTTACGCTCTTTTGCATGTTCCTTACCTCTAATAATATAAAAAAGATCTATATATGTTTCATAAACTCAAAAATGATAGTGTTCTTGTAAAACTATGTTCAAATTAACAACACCTATCACTTCAAAATTCATGTCATGTATGAAGAGAATATTGAAGTTTTCTTGTGAGAGGACTAATCCGTCGGAATATAGCTTACCCAACATGGAAGGTTTTCTCCCTTTATATATTCAGAGCAGAGTTTATCTAGAATCACGCGGAATTCCGATTTAAAAGAACGCAAAATGGTAATATAATGAAACGTATAGCGCCAAGTTATATTTTAATTTCATTGTAAAGACTTGCAGATATATCTAAAGCAAGTTTAAATCAATAAAATTCATGATTTAACCAAACTTTCAAGTATGGTTATTCACAAAAATGGACTAGTGTTTCGACCCTTCAAAGGTTTTTAAAATTATATTTAATTCTTGAAAACAATAACTATTGTTCAGCGGTTCTAAAGTGTAAGGTTATATGCATATATGAAATAACGGAACATTTCAAAATATATCACCCTTCTCTCAATATCACTTTCAAGTCCAGAAGCAACTAACGCAAGCCCAATTTTGTGGTTTCTTCTCATTATTGTATTAAGTATTGATTGTATTAAGTATTGATTGCGCTTATTACTTTTCAACAAAGAAAAAACAATACAGACGGTCTTGACTGTGCGGCAGGAAATATTATACTTTAGAAACTATTTGTTTTTCCATGGTTTAATATCATCTTACTACTCGATAATGGAATAATTCGTTGTGTTTTGATTTATTGTCAGCAACTTCTGTTAACAATATTACAACAATGTATGATTATATATTAAATTATAATTTCGAAAAATTGAGTAGAAAAATGCAATACTTATCTGCGTTTGTCATCCTCTGTGTCGGACACTTACAAAAACGTTCTTTTTTCTTCTTAGATTTTAAGTATATGGCAGGTTTAAATCAATCTGCATTTGTTGCTTAGCCATTTTCCCCTTTGCCCCTAGTCTTATTTCTTTAATTTGCCACCCCCTTTCCTGGATCTCCTGTCCCCTTCCCCTGCGCCATTTGACTTTGTGGGCATATTATTCAATAATTTATTTGTTTTCTTTGAATTCCTTATCAGTTACAAATTATTTCCTATTATTCAATCATAGGTTTGTTTTCTTGGAATTCCTTATTAATAACAAATTATTTATCATGTTGGTAATTAGCCTGTCCGTGCTCTGCCTTGTGTCATGGCCTGTTTTTCTTTGGAGTCCGCCTGGGCTCCTTGCCGCAGGTTCTTGTTGATAGGTCGTGTTGGGGTTGTGTTCATTGAACGCCGTCTTTCCTTGTTAATCTTGTTTGTCATATTTTGTAAACGTGTAAGGTTCCATCAGTTACATAAGTCTAGTTGCATAAGTTTTAGTTCGTTTGAATAATACCCTTCCTGTCAATCATGTAAATCTTTAAAATCGTTTTTATTTAACAATTTTTGAAGATCTGACAAAGATCGATTTATATTATGAGTCTATAGATATAATTAATAGCCTTCTCTTTCATATACAGAATTGCTTGTATACATTTTCTTTATCATTCAAAAATAAGTACGAAAAGCAAAATAAAGAAGCCATGATTTTTCAATAGAAGTTTTCGCTTTCATTCAAACATTCAAATATTATGCCAGATCTTAAAACCTTGTGACTAGATAATATTTTTGACAATCTAAGAACCAATCATGGCGGTCAAATTTGTAAAAAAAAATCAAATAATTGAAGTGTGGAATGCAGTAAAATTACAAATCTTTGGCTATTCCGAGCGATTCTCGGAGTGATTGTGTTAGTAATATTACTGATAATACAGGGCAAATTTTCACTCAAAACTTATATATGCAGAATAATTGAAAGATTGGTAAATATTCGTACATAAAAACGCAAGTAATAACTGATGCAGCAACTAATTAATGACTGTATGCGGGTTTTCATAAACAACTAAGTGCAAAAAGTAATCTGGCTCGACTATTTTGGATATTTCAGCACTCAATATATAAAATTGAAACTTGGTATCGTAAACTTCTTTCATTTTATTAGATGCTATATTTTACGCCTCCAGTCCAGACAGCTAGACCGACTTTTGAATATCCGCTTCTCTTTATATATGCGCCTTAACTTGTCAATAAAATCTTTTGAGCTACAGTTTTAGCCGTTCCAAATTCGCCAAAGAATCACCAACTGCATGGCCCTCAGTATACATTTTATGTTGCCTTCTGTCTTTAAATTAATGATGTTATTATCTAAACAATTCTGAACAGTTGATTGCTTCTGGAGTCAGATTTTGCTAGTCTGAACGACCGACGATATCTAGACGTGGCTGCATTACAATACGCCGTCATAAAACACGTTATTATCTTATTCCACATATAAAAGCTAAAAATGAAATAGTTTAAACCTTTAGATTTTTAACCTTTTTTCTTGAAAAAGTATTGATTGGGTATCAAATTTCTCCACCCTCTCAAAATGATACAGAAGTCGTTTCCGATTTAAATCATATTAAAGAACTATAGTTTACGGTTAAAATAAAAGCTACATTGACAAAAAAGGTAGATGTTATACTGGACATTACCTATGTCAGCATTTGGCATCAGTGCCGCATTTATTGTTAGGATATCTGCTTTAAGCAGCCTGAACATTTGTTTAATCACGCCAGATCAAATATACAGCAATCGCTGCTGAAATCGTCAATTGTCATAAATCTTACTTAGCACCAAAGAATCGCGTAAGAACCACAAATCCTGACACACATTGCTAAAGTTAATCAAACACGCAAGCCTATGCCTTTAGCCACATTCAAAGTATACCAATAATAATTTGTTTCAAAATTTTGAAGAAGACGTATTCGAAGATAATCGAATCTCTAGAAATACATATTCAAAATCAATATTTCAATTTTGAAAAAAAGATAGTTATCCGATTTCTAAAGATCTTAAAAGAGACAAAATAATACATTACGACTGTTTAACGGATTGGAACAACCGTCTAGTAGATGATTTGTCCAGAAAATTATCAAAATACTGTTCGTACGAGACAGTAATTTTAACCGTCCATTAGTACATTTTATACAACATTAGTTTTATTAACGTCAATTTAGGCTAACGTTTTCAACAAAATGCTTGATATTATTGCTTGATGACTTGTGTTAATGTTTCACCATATATTCAACCGATATGAGTTAGAAATGACTTTCTGTTTTTTTTATCTTCACCTTTAGAATTTAAATCAAAAGCATTTATACAGTTTCAATTTTATTTTCCTATAAATATAACACATTTTGTTTAAGGTATTTTATCATATTAACAAAAGCTATTTTAGATATAATTAAGCCGTAAATGAGGTTACAAATACTAAAAAGCACTGATTAAATATCCGGAAAATATAGATATATATAAATGAAAAAATCGAACAAACTTAAAAAATATGAAAATATAGCACATATGTTTATCATATTCAAATGATCAATAGTTCGCCCTTGATAATACATGTATATCTTATTTTTAAATTTCTATCTATTACGAAACAAATGAATAAGATTGATATGGTATTTTTGGCATTTGCTTTTTGGTATATGTTTTCTTGTAAAAGAGGAACATATCAGTAGGAACTTTCGCGAAGAGCACACTCCGCTTCAATTTTCTCAGTGGAATAGAAATTATAAACAATTTGCAAAGTGCCTCAAATACTTTTTTTTCCCTGGTTTTTAGATTTGGTTTATTAACAAAACCCTTTGACAATATAAAAGGGCAAAAAATTTAATTTTAATAAGAGGGGTTTTATGATTTGTTTAAAAAAAATGACTATATTCCAAGCAAAAAGGGATATAATTGTGCAAAAATCAATATTAGGGTTGCATGCCAATTGACAAAAGGAACATATTCTAAGGTAAAGAAAGGAAATCATTTAACAAAATTACTTTTAGGAATATCTTTATTTAGGAAATGCATTGTAATTTAGATTGTAGGCATGCATATCAAGTTAAGAATGAATATTTATGATAGCTTTGAGAAAATAATCTTAACACAAACACGTTAAAGATAAACATTGAATTTAAATGTTACCTGCAACTTATAAATGCCTTAAAAATTTGACAATGATCAAAAAATATTCCTTATAATTAAATATGTATGACAGTTTTTGAAAACGTGATCCTACCATCTAGACAACAAGGGCAAAAATGCCTTATTGTAAACTTCAGAAAAAAGAATTTTGGGATGAACTGCCCTTTTCAAATGGTGACAATATAGAAAATAAAATGTATACTAAAAATAATATGTTGAGAGAGAGAGAGAGAGAGAGAGAGAGAGGGGGAGGGAGAGGGAGAGAGAGAGAGAGAGAGAGAGAGCAAACATCTTAACAAAAAGTGTAAGCAGCAAAGACGGCTATGACCACTTCGAAAATAGGTTTTCACGATAGCTTCACAAGTTTCTTCGAAAAGAAGAGCTTTCAACATATCATTGAACAACAATACAAAATTTGATGAGATTACAAGGATGTATTCAGTTGTGTTAATTAAAAGGACATGCAATTAGAATGTATCACTTACTAAACAAAGCTAATAATAACGGTTAACTAAAACATGAAAATATACAGTAAATGTTCTGTCATTTCAAAAAATGGTGTACGCTTTGAATATGAATATGAATTACATATGTATTGATGATTAATAAGACATGAATAATTATGCAAGGCTATGTATTAGAGTTACATTTTACGCTTTAAATGCCTTTTAAAATCGCGTAAAAATTAAGACACAATAAAAACCTGATAATTTAAATACAGATGTTCATAAAGGCGTGGCAACGGCACTTACGGCGCAATAAAGACATTCATTCGCAGTACATAAGAAACGAAGATTATATCCATATTGTTATTCAATTAAAGACTTTTATTCCGTTATCGCTTAAATCAACGTATATTTGCTTGGCATGTACACACGAATGCAGAAGTAGCGCGACTGCTGGCACAAGCTATCATAAAACGAAGTCATTATTTGTGAATCTAATTTATTTAAACAACTCCAATGGTACGCAGCATGCAAACGACAGTAGAAGTGCCAACAAAAGCAATACTTGTAATGACAGTTCCGTTAGGAGGCTAATAATGTTTGAAGAGTAAAGTAAAAAATAAAATACTACTCTTATGTTTTCCTTGCATTCCGTATGTCGCATGACAAAGGTCAAGTTTGAGAATTTTTAACCGAGTTTTATATTTATGACATAACCAACAACAGCAAAACAACAAATCATTCGAATGTTTGTGTTCATTTAAAATATTCAACGTTTATTGATAACAATAAAATATAAGATTCAGAAAAACATTTATGAGTAACACAGCTTCGTGTATATTTTGTAATGTGATACAAAAAAACATACACATTAGGACTACATGTATATTTAGAATGGGACTTATATTCTCAGTATTAAATGAAAATAAAACAATTATCTCAAAACAAATCAGGTCGGATAAATGAAGAAAAAAAAACAGTTATAGCTATAAAATGCAACATTAAACACAATTTCAATTATATTATCTGCATTTTACACACGAGATTATTATTTCAATCTCCCAGTAATTTTGCGTTGAAAAGAGCTTAGTTCCGGTTATTTAATACCACAAAAAACTACAGCAAAAATGCAAACATGCATTGGAAACCCTTCTTGTGTTAAGATCATGACAATTTAGTTGTAACAAAGCATCACCAAAACGAAAACATAATTACAGCTAGTTTAAAATAAATTCAATTGTGTTTATGTCCTTTGTAGCATACGTTTGTTTGTGAGTAAGAATAGTAACACTCCTTTCAGATAAAAAGATGGACAATGTAAAAGTATAGTCTCGATCCTTTGCAAATTTATGTTTAATGTTTGTTCTGTTTGATGTACGCACTTGCCGCCTCGTAACAAAATTTCAGCTGTTCCTGCAAGAGAAAAAACAATTAATCATGAAAATATATTCAACATTCTTCACCTGAAATTTAATATCAAACACCGATCAGTGAAAAAGAAAGTTTTGAGTATAGATAATTATTATTTACCTTGCTTACAATTGCTGTTCGTCTTCTTGTCCGCAAGTGTCTAATGACATTTAAAATATTTACTTTTCCTTCAACTTTCAGTTTTTCTATGATAATTGCAACGGCACAGAAAAGACAACTTCTTTCGTTAGCCTTCCTGAAAATCATATTGGGATGACAAAAATGTGAGATAATTATAAAAAGTACGCTACATTCGGACGCTTGTAAATATATAGAAGGACATCAGACATCATTTTGTATCTATAACCTTCAATTTGATATAAAATATGTTTTCAGACTCCAGAGTAACGTAATTTTCAATAATTTAAAAGAAAATCACACTGTTCAAATTGATGCGTGTTTGCATACTAGAATTAATATTACTATATCCCGCTTTCTGTCAACAAAACCATTCTTATCTACATTAGTTCTTGCAATTCTAATTGCCGTTTCTGCCTGGGAAATGGTGTAAAACCTACCATTATGTTTAGGGCATATAGTGATTATACTCTGTTCTTAACCTATATATCTATAATCATCCGCATATGCATACTAGTAATTTCTTTTATGCGTATATAACGACAAAATATATTCTTCGTTTGGTTTCAACTTATATCAAAGTATACAAACAGGCAATGCACAACTACGCGCGATCTGTCTTCTCCTAACTCATTTGCATATTCTTCAACCTCGCTGATAAAATTCACAAAATCTGCTACGTTCCCGGGAGTTTTACTTCCTGTCATCCAATTTTTGTATTGGAAATGGTAAAAGCACTTTTCTCCATCTGCATTCTAAAATTAGAAATTATAACGTAATTAAAAACGTGTTATTCTCTTTTTATCAAATTATATTTACGATGATCACAAATCAAAGCAAATTGACATTATATTTTAACGTACCTTGTTGGTATATTTAATTTTCACTTTTCTGATGATATATGCCGATGTTTCTTCCAATTGTGAACTTGAAACTTGGAAATTGCCAAATATTGCTTTTTTATTCATCTCTGAAAGGTAAGTTCCAACAGTCTGTAAATGTAAAAGTAGTCATTCCAGTACTTTACAAGAAAAGCATTGATGCAAAGCAACAAAGGGCGTCCAAGCAAGAAATGCAGCAAGTGAAGATGAACTGGTAGACATATGTTGACAAGATATTCTTATAAACTTTTCAATGGTTAATTGGTTTTTACCAGAATTGTATATCGCTTATGAATGAGCGGACGGAAGACATAGTTCATTATTAACTTTATTAGGCATGCTAGAGATTAAAATATTACTTGTTGTTTTTTTTCCACCGGAACTTGAATTTTATATGGTTATATTACCATGTTGATCATGTTGAGCATAATTGTTTTATTATACAATAATTGTAATATCTATTTTGATATTTTTTACATATTTTATGAAAAGTGTTTTCTTTATTTTCTTTTTTTTTGTGTTTTATGTATTATTTTAATACTGAGTTTTTACGTTAATTACTTTTTTTAATTGTAAAATAAATTTTAAGAATTTAATTGTCATATTGACCGACGATTATAAGTCAAAAATTAACTGGAAAATTCAGTAAATTATGGTTAATCTTTAGATATATTACAGGCCTATTGTTTATTCTTAAGCCATGTACATGTACATTTGTATTTTTCTTTATCATTTTTTTTAAATTATCATTCAATTGAATAATTCATAAAATCTAATTTGTAACTTAGAATAATTCCTCAGCATCTTTTACTAAACACGAATAACAATTAAATAAAATGATTCAAAGTTGATACTGTCATATTAATACCATAAAAATGTACCTTTTTACTAAATTATTGTGTTTTTTTTTCAAATTGTATGTTTATGTTTAATAATAATAATGTAGCCAAACTAAGTGACAAACATTCATTTTGGAACAAAAAAACTTATTTGCCTGTAACAATATCAAACATCTACTCCAAAACCGGGAGAGACCGGAAAATAAACGGGTGATAATATTCGTAAATTTTCGGACTTTCAAACTTTCAGATACATGTTGAACAATAACAAACTGTAATAACCCACTGTGTAGTACAAAATGATTAATAAAAAAAACCCCAAAGAGCGCAATTAATTGACGGAAAAGATTATTTCATTTAAATATGTTTGCATTGCGAAATTCTCCAGTTGCTATTCGTTGTTCGCGACATTTCATTTTTGATAATCAAATGCCCTCATACCAACGGAATGATCGGCTATTATGACCGACGAAAAGGCACGAGAAGTTGTTGTCGCCCTTTCACAAAATTTGATTTCATTCCATAAGGGCGTCGCGCTTTGGCGCGGACGCCAATGAATTGACACTAAAGAGACAATTCAGCTAATGTGTAATTGAGTTGGACATAATATATTCTTCATATTTGCAGATTCTTTATATTTGAAGAACTTTCCTTCTCATTGTAATATACAGATTGATGTTGATATGTCTCTGTCTGATAAGGTTCGTCTTGGAATTTTTCAGGGTGAGAAAAATGTGCAGCCTGACCATGACTTGAATCCGTAACCCTGTAATATTGTACCGCAGCTCTACCAACAGAGCTACCGCTATCCGGCGCTTACATATTATCTGCCCTGAATTTCAAACAGTTCTAAACCATAACATGTTTCCCGGCTATATTTAAAGTATTCACTATTTATCATAATATAATTATTTGAATACCATTAATATTGGTACTTGGATGGAATTGAAAATATTGTAGTCTAAGAAAGAAACTTTAATGTATAATATAAAAAAAAACATATTTCAGGCTCAATTTAATTTAGCCAGGGTAATAAATGCTAATCAGTGTGAGTCAAAAAGTAATTAAATGTTAAAATTCTGGTATAAATTCAGGGATGTTTCTGATAAAAGTTACTTTCAATTGTGGGTTTTTATTTCCTTTGTTAAAGCGTGCGTGTAACGTTCACCCTACTGTTCGTACACATTCATGGCTTATTCACTTGAACAAAAAGTAAATAGATCTGTAAACGTGAGATCCATTGAAAACAATGACAGGATAAAAACAAAACCATGAGTTCAAGCATTGTATCGTATCATAAACCGAATAATACCATTTTCACCACTAGATCATTTTCACGTAATAATTCGTGCTTACCATTCCAGGCTCTTTCAAATCCTCCATTGTAGCGATACATGAACAATCTTCTTGGAATATCATTGAAACAAAGTCTGTGACTGTGTTTGGCAACGGTGACTGTGCTACGATAAAATGGTCCTTTCTTTTGAAACTCTGTAATGAAACTTTTTTTTTATTAATGTGCACGACATCAATATATGCAATAAATGAATATAGGACAATTTGTTTAAGTGTTGATGCGAGAGCAAATTCTTATTTGTAGGTTCAAATGCACGTTTTAGTGGGATAAACAATTCGGCAATTCCCATTCCATAATTTCCTGCGGTATGGTCATTCTTCATTTACACTTATTGAAATACTTAATGTGACTTCGTTATCAACTGAGAAAAACGAGTGTAAGACAAAAGCCTTCCCGGACAAAAACCTCCCTTCCAAAAAGACAGGGCGGACAAAAGCCCTCCCGTGAAAATGACAGGGCGAACAAAAGCCCTCCCGTAAAATAATTGTCCGCTTTGTCATTTTGGACTGGAGAGCTTTTGTCCGGGAGGTCTTTTGTCCGTCTCCCGAGAAAAACGTTTACTTGTTGTTGCTTGGCGTGCGTTCATAGAATGCCATTCTCGCATATTGGCCTTTGTTTTCATATTTTGCCGCTTTTTTTGTTGTAGTATATTAAAGTAAGATTTTTTTCAATTTCATTTTAGTATAGTAATCAAGTATAATGTGACTGTGAAAACAGCTCTGATCTCTTACAATATACAATTGGCTATTTAATGCATATCTACGGACTGTCTACAAAGATAGTGTAATCAAACTGACAGGGATTCAAAAAATAAACAAATGTTTTGTGGGTTTTTTTTGTTTTTTTTTGTATTTACGCTCAAAATAACTTAAAGCTTTGTTTGTTCTAGTTTAAAATCAAATAAAAGCTTACAGCATAAAATCTAATTTATCTTTCAACATTGTCTAAGGTTTTTTTCCAATGGATTGTGTAGTTTGTGTGATAATTATAATCAGGAAGAACTATGAATTCTTAATTTGAAAGCTTATTAAAAAGGTTTTCGACCAAACATTTGCATCAGTTAGTTATTTGTGTCGGGAACCGATTCATTATATACACAGAAATGGTGTCCGGTAAATTACTCAAATTAAGATTCAGATCTAGTAATAATCTTGGTATAAAGTAAGCTTATATAAAAATATCACTTTGGATTGACTTTGAGGCCAATAAAGTGAATGTTAGGTAACTGTTGACATTATGCTCGCTGTTTTGCTGTTTGGCTGAACAACAGTATATTTTAAATGACTGAGGAATTTGCTGATGGTAATACGATCATAGCGTTTGTGCAGTAAATTTTCCTCGAATACATATCCAACAAATAAAATGAAAATTTATCATGCAAATAGTAAACCGTACTTAATTTTAAAGTATTTCTTAACTCCAACATAAATCATAATATATCTTTTAAAAGAGTATCGCATGTTTAAAACTGAAAAAGAACTTTTATAACGCAATTAATACAAAAACCAACACAGACAAAAAACAAGAGGACTTATATCAAGTGTCACCGCATTTAGCATGAAGTAATAAAGACATATATCTTAGGAATAAAAAGGAGCGCAAACTATGAATGGCCAATAGCAGAACTGTAGTATATGGGTCTCTTTAGCCCCAAGACTGCACACGTGCGGCGGCAATCTTGTTTCCTCTTTAGCCCCACGACTGCACACTTACGGCGGCAAGACTGCACACGTGCGGCGGCCATCTTACGTGTTTCCATATATATATAGTAATATATTTGCATATAAGCGATGTGAATATCGGTACATAGCGGTTATTTAATTGACTTATTTTCAAACGGGAGCATTTTTTGGAAACAAGATGGCTGCCGCACGTGTGCAGTCTTGCCGCCGTACGTGTGCAGTCGTGCTGCCGCATGTGTGCAGTCGTGGGGCTAAAGAGGAAACAAGATTGCTGCCGCACGTGTGCAGTCTTGCCGCTGCACGTGTGCAGTCGTGGGGCTAAAGAGGCGCATATATTACTCAGAACCACTACTAGGGAGTTTAAATCTGTTATTGGTGCACCGAACCTCACTCTTAGTCCTCATTTGCTTTTTGATACGAGACAGTGTTTATAATGAAATCCCTGCAAAGCGAAATTCAAACAGTTTTTTATTGTTACAAATGGTGAATAAATAAAGCACCAAACTAATCATGTTAATACCAATTAAAATAAAACGAGACGGACATAACATAGAACTCTATACTTTAGATGGTGCCATAGCAGCGAGAATATCATCTACAAGGACCAGACGAAGGATGTAAAAAAGAACAGTAGAGTCTAAACTATATCAGATTTTAATTGCTTATTAATTAAAATATGTCTTATATGTTTTGAATAAATATAATTTATAAACATAATTATTTGGATTCTGTATGCAATGAAATTAAAGGTTTTAACATTCATTTTGTGTACAGACTATAACATTGAACTCAACATTCTGCAATCATAAGTATAACGCATTTCTTAAAATAGTTGCAATTATAACTGGAAGTAAATGAACGTCCGAAATAAGAAAGGCAGTTGTTTACACGTGTATGTTATATTAAATATTGGTTATTTAAATATCACTTGCTGATATAGGGCCTTTTAGGACGCTTTTAATCTTTAATTTGGTAACTTATAATAATTAGAATACTTATTTAATTTAGACCGTTTTTCTAAAAAAAAAAACAATTAAAATAGATGTTTCAACGTCACTTTTGAAACGGTTTGTTTTTACAAGTTTTTTGTTATTTAACAAAGGTTGTCGTCTATCTGTATAATACCTGTACTCGTATAGCTAGGTTTCCAAATTTTTTGAATCACTTACGAATATTATGCATAGTGAATGGACAATTTTGAGAATTTCAAATACATTTATTTGTAGTCTTGAACACATCGGCAGACAGAGTGCATGTTGCAATCCTAAAGCTTTAATTTCCGAAGTAAATTTAGAAAATTCCTTACATTAACATACACAGCATTTATATACTCAGATCCTTCTCTTCCGTCTGTCAGGTTCAAGAAGACAATATATCGATCTCCTGCAAAATAATACTCATTTTATTTAAATTAACAGTTGAATAATCAATCATATTTTCTTTAATTGATTTTTTTATTATATATTTTTTTAAGTGGACAGTGAAATTATATATGTTTACTAGTTCACGGGGAAATTACAAAATATAATTTTCACAGCAGTCGAGATACATCTGAAAGCGGATGAAAAAATTTTTAACTTATTATAAATATGTGGAAATATCGCAAGAAATAAACGCAGTCGTGAGTGAAATGTGCTTGACTATGAGAGTACGTAAATATATGCATATATTATTTTCAAAATGAAACGTTGTTCTTAAATAAATGCTTACAAAATTATATTTCATAACGTTAATTGTAACGTCATAATTTTATGACTTAAATAATTAAGGCGCATGTCGTTACGCGCCTAAAGACAGTTAAAGTGATCCAAAACCTTTAAAGAAAAGCATATAATTAATAAATAAATAATTTGTTTGTTTTGAATGAAGCACTTGTGAATGCCAACTCTTATATTTTCACGAGTGAAAATATTGTTTCGAATGTTCATTCTGTAAAATATAATTCGTTCTTGCATGCAAACAAAAACAAAACTCCTCTATTTAATCTAAAGGATATTTATTCACTTTTGTAATGAATTCGAACATGATGTTTTATATCAGCACAGAAATGACATACCTGGCACGTCAGCCTCCTGTCGATTTTTGTTCGAGTAGTTCCTATTTTTCAATCTGGCCTTTTGTTCGGATGAGTTGTCAGTCTCAACAGAAGAATTTAATTGCTATTCAAAATATATTTAAAATTCGTTATAAACATCCATTATACGTGAGTAGAGATATAAATAAATTTTAACTATACTCTTTAAATAGTGTATCTCAAATATGTAATTAGATCATTAGAACTTTTTTCAATAACTTATCGATCCGAAGTAAGTTGTCAATTGAATTATTAAAAAACCTTTCAATACTTTAAGATAAAGGTCTGCTTTTAAAATGTGTATAGAAATGTGCATCAAACGCAGTTGTTTTGCTTATGGTTTTCTCCCTGCTTTGATAGAAAATACGGTTGCTTGGCCTGTGTAAAACGTTCTCAAGAAAGGCGAAGAAAATAATCAATAACATACATTCAATGTGTAATGACATATATTTCATTGAAAAAATGTTTTATTAAGGTACAAACTTTGAAATATAATAGAATATGGTAGAGTATGCAAGAAACGTTACCTGACATATTTTGCAGTTCGGATCGAAATATCCGATATTTCGAACTGATACATATGACAGATATTAATAATCTGGTTTTCAATTCAGATAAAAGAAAATGATCGATTGTATGGACTCTGTTTTTGAAATTGTTGTAAATGATGTTTCTGCTCTGTTGTACTCCCACCATTTTCTTGGTCAATTGTTTTGAATACACTTTTTGTAAATAAACATGTGTTCAATAAACTTGTGTTTCTTCAAAAGAACAGTTGACACTAAGTTTGTCTTAATGAAAAAATATGAAAAGATGTTTGTCTAAAAGCATTCAAATCAAACTTTTTTTTAAGATACGCACATTATTTGCAGTAACTATGAAAGAAATAATCAACACTGTCATAATAAAATTTCTTTTGGATGATTTTACCTTATGGATCAGTCAAAGTCATACCTTGAAAAGCGTGATGTACTGTTTGTCATTTCTATTATACACTTGCTCATGGATCCTCTCTTTAAGAATAGATTCACCGGCGTATGAAAGTGCATTTACCAAACACTTGTGAATGTAAATATACTGTTCCTGTGCATAAACCACATATATGAACAGAATGCAATAATGAATCAATTATTGTATTGAAAAAATACAAAGTTGGTGATAACTAAAGACGACAAATTATAATTAAAGTGACATACAAAATCAATGTAGATACTTCATCATTTGTAAAATTGTTTGTTCATTAATATATAACCATTAACATAGCTTTCGATACATTAACCTTATTCGATTAGAATTCATAGAATTCAATGAACAAAACTTACTACAGTCTGGACCATTTTAACCCTTTGTGTCCTCAAGTTGTCAACACATTCGAACACATTGACCGAATCTTTATCTTGGCCTTCTTCAATCAATATATCAAGAGCTATCAAAGTTCCCGTGCGACCTATTCCTGCACTATAGTTTGGGAAAAAATCAAGTAAATTTATAACAAAAATTATTGTATGTAAACTATTCTGACCAGACAATCGTCTGATTCAATATGATTCAAATATGCATATGCTTTTTATTTGCTTCGTAGAAAGCGACTGGTAAGTTGGAATTCATTTTGTCAGCAATTTAATAAGTTAAACTATGATGTTTGACAATTTTATTATATGTTGGTTGAAATATACAATTATATTCAAATAATTGAACACGTCATATAATCAATGGGTGCTAGTATTTGCAACCGTGTGACACGAGTGGTCATAATATGCATTCTACGTAATCAGCTGATATACCAGATAAGAATTAACAAAATAAGAAACGTTTATCTTCATAATTCGGTGTAATTCTTGTTCAATATCTTAATTTGAATGTATAATGAATTCGAATGCTTATCATTGCATGCCTTTATATATCATTGTTTGGTTCTTACGACGTCAAACAAGTTGACAATGTATGAAAAATATAATTCTAACATTATCGGAAATTTTTCTATATAAACAAAGAAGGCCAGAAGCGTGCATTATTCTACAACAATGCACTCGCCGTTCTTATTATCTCCCTGTGTATTTTCACTTTGAGGGCGCCATTTTGTTTGAAAAATCTGATAAATTAAAACAATTTTTTTGTCGAATTTTGTTGTAAAAACTATCTAGAATGAAAGAAAATGGTCTAACTAAGAAAATGAATCCGAACACCAATATCTTTAATTCAGTCGTTAACGCTGTACAGACGTTTAAAGTGTTATTTACGTGACGTTACAATGTAGCGCCAAACAGCACGTGCAAAACAATCAAATCAAGTACGCTATTTTAATGTCGCAAACGAGTTAAGTTTTACATTTATTTAACTTCTAGTATTTTTTTTTTCGCTTGAAAAATTTTAGAGTGAAATAAAATAAACAAACAAAGTTTTATCAAGTTGAACGTTTTCAAAATTCGTTATTCTCAAAATGTTTCTACACACGGTAGATTTAACGACAGTTTTTTTTTCAACTCACTGGAACAGCCTTTAAAGAACGTTTCTATTGGCGAAAACAAATTTAACCACCAAACATAAAGTCAAACTTTATGATAATAATTATATTTTTCTTGACGTGTTAGAATGGAAATATATATTAATTCTACGTGCATTGTTGTATAATAATGCACGTTTTTCGTTCAAATGCTTTGTAATTAATCACTCAGGCCTATCGGCCTTCGTGATGATATTACTACGCATTTGAAGTCAAACCGTGCGTTATTCTACAACAATGCACTCAGAATTGATATCTATTTCCTAAGTATAGCACTCGATTATTTCAATTGATTGCTTAGTGTGGCAAACATGTGCTCGATGTATTTTAATACTTTTAATCTAAATTACTTAATATATAATTATAATTTTGGTAAAATTCCTATTTTGAAAACCTTTTAATCATTGAAAAGTCGGATATTTCCTTTGTTATTACTTTGTAAATGTACCTGCGTTGTAAGTTATCTAAAGTTATATTTAGATCATTTAAATCTTAATGCTTAAGGTCGTTGACTTCAGACCACTTGCCCTTCATCGCTGTGGGTTCGAATCCCGGCAGGGACTTTGGATTCTTTCATGTGAGGAAGCTATCCAGCTAGCTTACGGAACGTCGGTGGTTCTACTCAGGTGCCCGTTCTTGCCTGAAATAATGCACGGAAGGGCACCTGAGGTCTTCCTCCACCAGTAAAGCTGGAACGTCGCGATATGACCTATACTGTGTCGATGTGACGTAAAACCCAAAACAAACAAACAAACATTTAAATCTTTATAGCAAAAATAGTTCATTAACAATAATATTCTAATCTGTCTATTTTCATATAAATACATGACAAATGCTTTTAAACCAAAATTCACATTTTCTTAAATTTATTTTTTCCCTCACATGTTGTACTCTGCTTTTTAAGCAAATAAAATGAACGTTGATGGTGGAACAAAATAATACCAATTTTATACCTGCAGTGTATTATAATAGGACCGCCCTGTGTGATAGGCACATCTTTCATTCTTTTTCTAAAGTCAAGTAGGCTTGTGACGTCTTCTGGAACGGTCTTGTCGGGCCATGCTGTATAGTGTAAATGTTTCAACGATCGATGTTGGTTTCCCTGAATGAAATAATGAATATAAGTAAATTAACTAATTTTTTCTGCATTAATAATTCAGCAATACATGTAAACTAATGTCTAAAAATACTGTGGCTGCTATGCCATTTCGTACATTTGCCCCTCAAAATCGAAGGACATGATAATATACTTAATAATCGAGTCTTCATCTCCGACGTTTGCGTAACGTTGAGGACAGGATATATTTTAGGGGAAATAACGATATTTTCATGGGCGAAGACACTAGATCTTCTGTGAAATTATCGTGTCGCCGGGTAGAAAACGTAGTATCAGCGCCCTATATTTGTTGTATCGTCGTGTCTTAGCCTTAAATGGTGAGAGGCGAAGACACGATAATTGGCCAATTTATCGGATCTTCGTGCAATAGCCCAGATAGTTAAAACAGGATAATTCGGTATTAATCATATACAGTTTAGAATCGTTACGACAATATTATCGTGAGGGGGATATATTGCTTGACATTGTCCATCCGTCCGTCCGATTTCGTTTTCGCGCTACTTCTCTGCAACTACTGGCTGGAATTCAACGAAACTGTATGGGAACCATCAATACCAAGAGGAAATGCGCATATCATCGCCTTGTTCAGGTCAGAGCCTTTAGCTCATAGTTATGGCCCTTGATTGGTTATACAGCATATAGAGCAATAGTCGTTTCCCCGCCACTTCTCTACATCTATTGGCTAGAATTCAACGAAACTTTATGGGAACCATCAATACCAAGAGGAGATGCGCATATTGTCTCTTTGTTCGGTTCAGACCCTTTAATTCAGAGTTATGACCATTGATACAGTATGAATATGGAGCAACAATCGTTTTCGCGCTACTTCTCTGTAACTACTGGCTATCATTCAACAAAACTGTATGGGAACCATGAATACTAAGAGGAAAGGCGCATATCGTTCGCTTGTTCCGGAAAGACCCTTGGCCTCAGAGTTATGGCCCTTGATTAGTTATACAGTATTTATATAAAGCAATAATCATTTTTGCGCTACTTCTCTGCAACTACTGTCTGGAATTCAACAAAACTTTTTGGAAACCATGAATACTAAGAGGAGATGCGCATATAGTTCGCTTGTTCCGGTAAGACCATTGACCTCAGAGTTATGGCCCTTGATTAGTTATACAGTATTTATATAAAGCAATAATCATTTTTGCGTTACTTCTCTGCAACTACTGGCTGGAGTTCAACAAATCTTGATGGGGACCTAAACACGATGAGGAGATACACATATCGTCACCTTGTTCCGGTCAGACGCTTTAGCTCAGAGTTATGGCCCTTGGTTAGTTGTGAAGTATGCATATAGAGCAATAACAGTTTCCGTGCTATTTCTGTTCAACTACTGCATCGAATCTTTATCGGAAATATCAATACCAAGAGGAAATGCGCATATCATTGCTTTGTTCCGGTCAGACCCTTCAACGCAGAGTTATTGCCCTTTATTAGTTATACAATATGCATATAAAGCAATTATCTTTTCCGTGCTATTTCTGTTCAAGAACTGGCTGGAATTCAAATTCAATGAAACCTTATGGGAACCATCATAACCAAGAGGAGATGCGCATATCATTGTCTTGTTATGGTCAGACCCTTAGTTTTGACCCTTGATTAGCTGTGCAATATACATATTAAGCAATATTGCTATTTCTTTTCAACTCCCGGATTGTTTTCAACAAGACTTCGTGGGAACAATCAATACGTTAAAGAATGTTGCATGGCAAGAAAGAAATATGTAAAAAAAACTTTATGTCTCAAACTGTTGTGTTAGTTATAAGCAGTACTCGGCGGGGGATATAAATTTAACGAATTTGCTTGTTTCCAGATGCAATCAAACAAAATAAAATTATTAAAATGATTGACAAAAGAATGGTACAGTAACCAATTATCTGTCAAAAGCAGGCGATCATATTTAATTTATAACAATCTCTATTTATTCATTATAATCTGCGATAAAACAATGTGCAGGAATGTTGTTACAAACATACTTTTGATACTCTGAATGTCCTGATTGTATACTCAGCAAAGGCCTCATATGTTTCACAAGTAACAATAACGTCTCCGTATTGTTGATCTGTTCCTTTATTTGGCCAATATTTCTCACATTTCATTCCCTGAAATTTAACATTTTATATGAATATGCACTTTTTTATATCCTCAAGATTGCAACGAAATATATAAAATTATGATTCATATCAAGAAGACTGTAAAATGTAAAATAAATTAATATTATAAAACATAAAACATTACCGATGGTTCATGAAGTTTTGTAAGCATGATAATCATATCCGATCTTTCATGCCAAACCATTTGCCAAAATGTTTTAAAGTCACTTGTTGTCTTCGAAGTAGGGCCTAGTGAATTGGAATATACACAATGTAAAAACAATATCATGGACTGATCCTAATTGCAAATTGACAAAACCGTAATTATTGATAAAATAAAAACACTAGACTTAGATTAACTCAATATTAAGTCTAATAATCAAAACTAACTAAAATGGGTGAAAACTCACGAATATATCATTGAATCTGTCACATATTTCTTATAAAATAGCATTGCCTCAGAAACTAAACGTCTATTAATTGAATTACTTTAAGAATGATTTAAACATTTCAATTTACCCAAAGATGCTATGTAGGCCTTCTTTTTTCTATATCCCTGAAATTAAAAAAGTTACTGTAAGTATTCGTATAGTTCATGTCTAACAAATATAGATTGTTAATTTTATATTCAAAATATAATTCAATGATATCGCGTCTCCCGTTAACAAATTTACACATTACTTACGTTAATATAGCATGCATTTATGAAGAAGTCCGGATCCTCTGGAATTTTAACCCTGGAGTGATCATCTATAAAACAATGCCAAAATGCAAATTAAGATTTGAATAATAAAGTTGCTGCAGATGCATAACTTTTTTAGTTTCATAAATATATGATTGTAAAACTTCAAATATATACGTTAATGTACTAGGTAATAAATAAGTTGTGAGGTTAATTTTTCAAGCTATTTGATAAAATGTGGTTTGTCTCTTCTTTTGCTGTGTGCGTGCTTGCGTGCGTGTGTGTATGCTTATTTTTGTTTTGTTTTGCTTGATGTTGTTGTGTTGTGTTATTTTTTGCTAATACTGCATTTTCAAAATTTTAGTTAGAATTAGTTGGCAACAACAAATAACTTGGCGACCTTCCAGAAAACTCTGTTCATAGTTCGGAAAGGAGCAGGTACCTGAGTAGATCATCGACTTTCGTTAGAAAATTGCATACTTTGTTAAGTATAACCTCATATCGTTCCTACTTCTTTTGATTTCTCTCGACTGATGGACTAAAAGTTAAGATGTGAATCAATTATGTTTAAATGTTCTTCTACTCATTTCTATAGATTGCAATGTGTTATTTATGAGTGTGTAGACAAATCTACTTACATGGGTATATTCCATTGTATCTGTTGAGTGCTAATTTTTCTGGTTTTCTTGCAAAAGTACATGATTTCTGCAGTCCCGTTGGTAATTTCTATAAAGTATTTAAAAGTATATTTGTGTTTGTGTTAGTCATAAATATATAAAACTTAAAGTTTATTTGATTGATTTCTGGTAAATTTTCATCACTTATTTGGCAAACAATTTTACAGGGGCAAGTATCTTGAAGGATAAAGCAAAAACTATGACATAAACTTATACTTAAACTAAACCTGATATTCGGCTTCTAAGCTGTCATCATTTCCAGAAACGTATGCATGCAACTCTGCTACTGTAATTCTGTCTATGTTATCAATTTTGTCAGGTGAGTTGCAGTATTCAGTTCTTTCGTTTACTATAATAGGAACATCGTCAACTTCCTGCAGACCTTCAACTACATGCTCGTCTGCCTCACTGGTGTATCTTTTCCTTACTTCCCCATTTATACTTTGTTTACGTCTACTTGACTTTTCTGAAATAAGAAAAAAAATCAAAAACAATTTATTCCTTTTATAATCAATCATTTTATATTAATAAAAAAACGTAATACACATTAATTTTACCAAACAGAAGTACAAGATGTACATATATTTACTGTTAATAAGCGCCTTTAAAAAGGAAAATGAGAATACAGTTACTGTATTGTTATATTTTTCGAATATGTTTCATACTGTTTATTTAAACTATCGAATGTTTCTCTATATATGGTTTGCAGTTTTAAGTTGAATTAAATCAGGATTGCTTGTTTTGTTTACAAAAATATAGTTATTACTTAAACAGAAAAAGGTTAAAACCTTCAAACGTTGTTTCATTTGTCGGGCAGTTACGTCTCTTCTTCTTGGCTTCGTTAATGACATTTTGTTTTCGATTATTTTTTTGTCCTTTCAGAGAAAATTTACAATATTATTTAAAAATAGATATGATCTGAACATTTATTTAAGGTACATCAAATGAACCGTGGTTAAGTTTTAATATATCCAGTTTTGTATTTAGATTTATATACTTGCTATGTTAATCCCTACTGACCGCTATTCATAAGACTACCAATGTACAAAAACCTTGAGGGTCAGAATAAATAAATAATTTGCTGAACAATACATTCTAGTAAGTGAAAACATTATTGAAACGCCTTGATCGTATTTGTAAGTCAACTAAAACCATTACTATGAGTTAGGCTATAAACAACGTATCAAAGTAAGTTCTTCCTCTTTTAAACTATAAACCAGATATTTAAAGTATGAAAATCTTTTTTTTATCTCGCTGCACAAAGTTTTTTTTATTGTATTATATTGTGTAAATATGCTTGGCTCAAGCTTATCTACAATGTTATTAGAATTACAATGCAGTTTCTTTTGAATTTTATTTCCATGAGAAAGTATTTACCTTTAAATTAATAAAAAAATATGATTCTAAAAAAGGCAGATTTAAAACAAATATTATATTCACCAAAAAATGGAACGTTTTGGTAAAGTGAGTCGGTACTTTTATTTCGTCTGAAATATAAAGGTTTTTCACACTGTGTATATACATCAGCTAAAATCATCAGAATCATTAATATACGTTGAGCTACTCCCATTTCATATACAATTATTTAACCTACGTTTAAATAGAATAAATGTCTCTGTGTAATTAATGGAAGGTAGAAGTTACTTCACTTAACGACTTTACATATTTCGAAGTCAGCTAGAGCTCCATTATTATTTTATTTATTTATTTATTTATTTATTTATTTATTTATTTATTTATTTATTTATTTATTTATTTATTTATTTATTTATTTTTGAGAAGTCGAAAGGAGAATTTAAAATGTTATACATTTGTCACAAAACTGTTTTTATATGTTATTGGCACTTTCCACATTATAGACCGGAGACTTATAACGCAGAACAATAATCAATGGGCATCATAAAGCAAAGGAAACCAACCTCTTTCTATAAATGAATATAACAACAACTAAAACAATCACTACAACAACAACAGCAGCTACACTTCCTGCTATTATCCCACTTTTGTCTTCCGTTGGTGATTTAACTTGACTTTTTTGTTGTTCTGAAATCATAATAACACATTCATTTTTGGCTTGATAAATGACTATGTTTTCGATTGTTGTAGTAGTAGGTTGAATGAATTATCGTGCAGTTGCTTCTTTTGAACATATATGAGAAGAAAAAAACATATAATTATTTGCAACAACTCATTAATATCTTATGTAAATGAAAAGAGCCAAAAATCAAAAAAAAATTCTGAAAATTCTGAGTATAAAAGACGACTATTTTCGATCTTCTAACCACGTAAATAAATTATTAGAAATATTGCTGCTTATGTTTTCTTTTGGTGCAAATTTAAATTTAAGAAGGTAATGAAACAATTTTTACGTCATAAAATATTCGTTTGTACCGCATTAGCAGTTACCGAAAATCAGTGTGAGCAGCTTAATTTGTGTTTTCTAAGTAATTCAATCTATATTTGATTATTTGTGTCATTATTTGAAAATTTAATTCATATGTTCACAAAAAAACAACATAAATGTAAAATAAGTTTTCAGGCGTTGAGGGCTGTGGTTATGTAAAATTAAAAAAATATTATTCCTAAAATTATGAACCCAAATTTATCTTATCACATTCTGTCTTAAACTCTTTTGTTGTTTTCAGAACACATGTGATTAACAAAAAAAAAGAACTATCCAAGCAAAATCAAAGTTTGATAGCATAGAAGCTCATATTTACCCAGCCTCAATAATACTTCCCACTTAAACCTATGAGATTTTAAGTATGATTTATATTTTACTTTCAAAACGTAGGAGATAATTCGCGCACACACACGCACGCACGCACGAACGAACGAACTCACACACGCACACACACATATATATAGAAAGATAAGTTGTTATTACAAACATAAAAAAAAGATATTTATGGTACTTTTTGCGACATTTTAGCATTGGAGAAAGTACGATGCACATTTAATTGAACTTGACTTTGAATCGTTGTTTTACAAATTGACAAAAACATTTTATTGTTTGTAAACGAGGTTCTATGAATTTCTTTATAATAATGGCTTTTAAAAGAGACTAATGGTACGGCATTATAAAAATTTCGAATTCATTTCTGACAAGATAAGTTTGTTAACAATTTACTTCCAGCAATTTCAAAGCTTTTTAAATTGATGCATAACATACTCAATTACCTTTAGTTTTGAAATGAAGACGATTTGTGTGAAACGAGTTTCCTTCTATGTTTCTTGCAAACATCTCTATTTCATACTCTTGCAGACTTGAGAGGTCATTTAAAGTATAATTCATATTGAAATCACCGTTGTCTTTTATTGATTTGTTTAACCATATATGTTCTTGCATTACTTTGTAGAGTATTACAAATGTTTGTTGAAATCCTCCATTAAAACCAGGACTCCATGCTAGTGTTACCATTGTGTCTGTAATTGAATCGTTCATGACACGAAAGTCCACTGGTCGTTCTGGTTTATCTGTAAATTATAAGCTATATGATAAACTCATAAGCTACTTATCTTCAATCACAATTTTAAAGTGCACACTTTCTTCAATGATACTTTGCACTCCAGTGTAAAAATGATCATTAAATACAACTCATGTAATGTATTCAAGGTACTAACCGTCGGATTTTATGTATATTATGTTTTCAAGAACTAATTCTACTTTTATGCGCTAAATTTATAGTTCTCTATAGGTGGATCAAATCCCAACACAATGTTTCGTTTTATATTTTAAAGTTCCTTTCTTAAGTTAGTGGAATACCACAAATAATATATAATATGCACAGGTTATCCTGATGTTTACAAATTGGTATTAAAAAGTAACAGTAACAATTATTTCTAGTGGAAAGCCACAATGTTATCACTTGGAAATCCAAATTTTAACCGTCTAAATGTTTCTTCATGCATCTTTACATTTTTTCTAAAATTAATTTCGTTTTACACTGACCAATAGAATTTTAACAGCTTTGTTTCTTAAATAACAAAATGACCAATCAGGTTTTAATACAAAATAAGGTAACATAGCAGCATGAAATTTATAACAACAATCATCAACTTGACATTTTATCAGTCATACGGTTTAACAATTTATTAAGTACAGACAGCTGAATTGACTTTATCACCTACATAAAATAAAACTTTTAGCACAATTGACTGAACAAAGAGGAAAAGCTACATATAATCTTCCGGTTACATTATTATAAATTTGACATCTGTTATTAAAACAAATATAATAATTGCCCTAATTAGAAAATGATTATATTTAAAAGTGTTTGTGTTAAGAAGAAAAGAACATGCATATTTATTCATTACTTTTTCATAAAAGAATTTTATCATGTTTTTGGCTGCACAACACTACACCAATGTTTAAATAAACATAAACTGTACTAACCTGTGGCTTTCAATTCATAATACTGAGTAAACATTCCAACTGAATTTTCCACATCTACTTTATAAAGCCCTAAATCGCGTTGAGTTGTGTTCCTTATAGTAATATTGGTTTGTAAATCATTTGAATGTATCAAGTATTTATTGTCATTTTCGGGAATGGAAACATTTTCCTTAAACCAACGGAACATTGTTTTGTTTGGTTCATCGAGATAATTCAAAGCTATAAATGGTAATGTTACATCAACGTTCAGAACTGTTGCCACTTTCATAACACTTGTGTCGCCAGAGGATGGTCTTGGTTGGCCTGCAGGCAAAAATATGTATTTCTATTTGACTTAAAATAATTATATTAGTCATGTAATCTGACGTACAATGCTTTTTTTTTAAATTTATATACGGGTTTATTCAATTATCATAATAAAGGTGTAAGTTATGAAATTATATTTCATTATTATAATTATCTTGCTAGGTAACTAACTTGCATTGAATAAATAAAAATAGCATTAGGTTGCTTACTTTTAACTATAAGAATCAACTTTGACTGTGATGGTGAGTCCGTTGTGTAGTTATTTCTTCCGCTACAAATATATTCTCCGGCATCTTTATACGTTGCATTACGTAAAAATGTGTGGCGAGCAATATTTGACTGTGATACCTCGATAATGTAATCACCCCTTGGAGACTTTATATTTAAATCTGATGGAGGATTGGCTTCAGCAATGCATTCAAAGTATGGCTTTTGAGTTTCATTAACTAAAAAGGTTCGACCTGAGCTAACCGTAGATATCGTAAATTTGTTTATTTCTGATGGAACTGAAATAAGACGAAGATTCTAAGGACATGATTAAAACCGCTCTATTTTCATTGTATAAATGTTAGAAAATCTTGAATAGAAAAGTATTTTATTGTAAAACAATATAGTCACTTAACCAATTGCATGTATCATTTATCATTTTATCAAGAAACATGTAAGAATCTTACAAAAAACGTTCAAGTGAAAAGAGTTTCTTCTTTCAGCTTTTAAATCAGTGCCAATTGTAGGAAACATTTCTGTTATTACACTACAGGTGTACATTGCATTGTCTGCTCTTGAAACGTTCTTGATAAACAACAGTCTGTTGTTCGATAGACTTTCTTCACCTTGTCTGGACCATGTTACTATAGAGGTTGAAGGATTTCCATATACTACAGGACATACTGTTTCCAATTGTGATCCCTCAACAATACTTACGTCATCTATATCATTCACTATAGCTGGATCTATAAATAAAAAAAATATTATAATGTTTAAACAAACAATTTTAACGGACAAAGAACTAGAAAATATTGTTTAAATAGAAAAGCAAGTGCTATCAAAATAATGAATATAAAGCGTATTATATATCGGACATAAACATCCTTAACGATAACTGTTTTAAAAAAGAAAACAGTAGTTAGAGTATTTCAGAGGTCGACATTTTCAAATGACTCAAATGGAGTCATACTTCTGCACTGAATATTGTCTTCAAGAATGACAGAGGCATAGATCAAACAAATGTTAAACACGAAAAAGTTAATACTTATTTTCTATTGAATTGTTCAACAAAATATTGCCAAATGGCGTACGTATAAAGTATAGGTATAGGTATCTATTGTGAAACTATGAACAAATCTTCTGAAAGTGTGAACTTGAAAAATGAAAGTGCAAATAAAAATAAGCTGATAAGTAATTCAGTGAATTTTTTGCAATGCAATGTGTTCCGTCAATGCCTTGTCTCTAAAGGTAAAACATAAGAAATTCCGCTACAACGACATAAAAAGAAAAACGAGTTGTTATAACCCTAAACTAGAAAAAATTTAAATCGTAGGTTTCACTCTCTACTTTATAATTTGAAGTAAAAAATCTTTAAGGTGAAATCCTTGGAAACAATTAATTTTACACATACCGGTATCCTCTTTTAGGTAAAGGACTTTGAAAATTAGTGTATAATTTTTATACTTACATAATACGTTCAAAATTAATTGTGAGGTATCTTTCCCTACTTCAGTTTTGCCAATTGATCTCTTCATAATATTTTCAACGTTGCAAGCATATCTTCCACTTTCCCGTCGATTGATGTTGACAAATTTCAAAACGTTCGTCGACTGTGTTTTAATATATTGCTCATGTATCCATTTGTATGTCGGCATTGGTTTACTTGTCGAAAAACATTTTACATTGATTGTTTCTGATTCAATAATACTGACGTTTCCATTTTGAACCTGAACGCTGTCGCCATTATCATTTGAAACGTGTATTGTAGGGGGCCCTGGAGGATCTTGAGTACAAATTATAAAATGTAACGTAATGAGATAAATTTATAACTGACATAAGATACTTTTAATGAATTTGTTGCGAGTATTGAACCTCTGTAATACTTCACCTTTGAATGAAATATATATAAAGTAAAAATGGCAAAGACATTTTGTCACGAAACTAACACTATCAAATCTTAAATGTGTGATTACAATATTTTTTCTTTCAAATATAATAATCAATTATGTGCTTACTTTAGCTAAGAAACTGTAAATATACACTTACAAAGGACAATTATTGAAAAAGGTGCTTCCGACTTTGAAATTATTTCTATTTGACTTGCAAATTCTTTCATCAAGTTTGTTGCTCTGCATGTACTATTAATGTCCAAATAGATGTTAGATATACTCAATCTGGGATTGCTTTTGTTATCATCCCATTTGATGTCAGGATCAGGATTTCCTTTGACATCGCAGTAAATGGAAAACGTATCATTTCTCACTACGTAAAATATATTTGATTGAATGAGCTGTCCGCTGGAGTTTTCAAATTTAAATTTTGGTTTGCTTGGAGGATCTGAAATTATCAAAATAGGTAACATATTTTGTGAAACGTGACACAATATAAAGGTAAACTAAATGATTTGATATTAAAACATCATCTGTGAACAAATCAATCTGTTTATGATTGATTTACTATAATGTACTTACACAATACTGTTAGATTTAATGATGACGTATGACTCCCGTCTTCATATGAACCATTCGTTCTTATCATCCTATTTGACGCCACGCATTTATAATTCCCCTGATTGCTAAGTTTAACGCTTGTTATTTCTATCGTATCACCTTTGTCAGAAAAAAACCCTGGACCAATCCATGTGTAGTTAGATAAAGGATTACTTTCACTGTAGCAAGCAACTCGCAGAGTGTTGTTTTGTATAACACGAACAACGCCAAATACATCTGTTTGTCCAATTTTAAAATGTGGTTTGGTTGGAGGAACTTAAAGGAAAAAAAACAACTAAACTAGTAAGACAAATAATACATATGAATTGATAATGTACCTACACTTTTATGATATTAAGTTAAGTAACCACAATTTATAAATAATTGTAATAATAATCGGGAAAATATCAAGCAACAAACGGTCAATGAATTGAAAACACAAAAATAAAATAAGGATTTTAAGGGCGTAAATCGTAAAGATTCGGAACAATAATACACCTTTATTATCATGCATTTCAAATTTTATTAATGTGTTGCTTTCAAAAGATAAGATATTAGCCTTTTGGTTTGCATAATCTTATGACACACTCAAAGGCACGTAATACTTAAACTTACATTGTACATGAACTGTAAGGTTTGTTATTCTTTTCCAATTACTTAATGTGTGATGTGACGTACAGGAACATGTGCTATAATTGCGCAATGCCGTCCATTTAACTGTGCTTGTTACGGTGCTTTCTTGGGTATTCATTGTTATGTCCTGACTGTCGAAACAGTTCCATTCCAATGATGCAAGTGGGTTTCCTCCGGTAACCGAACAAACAAACGCGCCTTTATCAGACACAATGACCGATAACGGATCGTTAGTTTCAACTCCATGTATGACAGGTGAAATATCTGGGGGATCTGAAAAAGATCATGCTTTAGCTGATGCGTCTTAGTTTAAACACCTTTTCAGCATACTCATTTTCGGGCAACTTATTACATTTTCGAACCCTGTCATCAATTTCGTTGTTTCTGTTGTTCTAAACAAGTAAACTCATTTACTCAGTAAGAAAAAGCCAACGGCTTAAAATAATTATCATACAAAATGTAATGTTTAGCCTTATAAGGTTGCTTCGTAAATTATGACTAATTCTAATAACCCGATATTGTATTATATAATATGAAGGTATATGTCATTACATATAATTATCTATTATGTTGTATGAGATCATGACGGTGTAAATATAAGCAGAAAAAATTTTAATTACAAAATTATCATTTGGATGATAACAAATCATAAAATATATCAATTTAGTTCCGGATTGCACCCCTTCTAAATTATTGAACTGGTATTTCTATTTTATATATATATTTACTTCATTGAAAAGATTCATAATATCCACAGTCAATGTGATAAATGATTTCCGAGACAAAAATTGCAAAAATGTTCTTAAAAAGGTACTGTTAAATGCGTACTAATTTCAACATTAAGTATGCAATTTAAACATGGTCGACATTTTGTCGACATTTAATATTATGCTTAGTATGTTTGTCAAGGATTTCTAATAAATGGTAACATTCTTAATTTAATAACTTTTCGAAATAACTATAATGGTGACATCTACTCGCATTGTCAATTGTGAGTACAACAACCTATTAAGCATCGTCTAAGACTGTTTACAAAGAACATTCTCATGTCCTATCTCTTGTGAAACAAAGGTATTACCAAATTCATAACTGATAAAAAGTATTTGTAGTTTGACTGCCCAACAAGCCCTACAAGCTCCATCTAGTGATTAACATTATTAAGGGGAAAAGACACGTTAGTCTTATAGCTTTAACAAATACCAGATGTAATTTGTAAAATAGGTAAAACAAAGGTATAACATTCTGTAACACCATGCTTGTATTTGTATAAGTTCAAACATTTAATAAACCCTTGCAGAACATATTGTGAACATATTCTTCAGTTTGACTAATCCCATATAACAAAATACAATTAAAACACAATATAAATGTGTAAAATACTATTTCTAGCGCATGTAAATGAAGTTAAGTCATCGCGTGACGTGTATTTCCAAATATTATCGATAAAACAATGCAACGCGCCGCCCCTATTGTAATAGTGTATACGCTTCGCTGTTGATATTTAGACTACATTAAATTGATCTTGAACTTGATCAGCAATTAAATTGATCGTTACAATTAGATGTAGTTTGTTTATTTTAAATTGTAAATGCAGAACAAAAACAAATTCACGTATTAGGGTTAAGGTGTTGGAGACATGAAACCACCCATATTCATAATTACGAAGATGACCTCCATTTCGAAATACAAATATCCCTGTTGAGTCAAAACTGATTTCCATGCCAGTATTCAAGCAAAAATGATCAACAAAACTAAGTTGTTGCTGCAATTTGGCTGTAGTTTTGATGATCATTTAACGTCTTTGATGTTTTATCTGCGAAATCATGTTCGTTTCCAACGAAAGGATCAACAAACACTGAATTTTCTTCATACAACAAATTCCGAAAACAATTGAACCATTCTGTGTAGAAAAACTAGGATTAGATATAACTAACAGTTTTTCCTTTTTTCTATATTTTTGTCAAAAAGAATTAAGGTTGTCACTGTTTGGAACAAGTGCAATATCACTTATGCTTTTCACCAAGCGGAGAATACTTCCGCCGTGCCGAATTTTGTATCACGCTGTTCGATTTCCCACCCTAATGTTGGTAAGATAAGGAAATTATTTAATAAAAGAAATCATAAAAGAAAACAGTTATTTCATCATGTTTTCAACAATTAAAACTTACGTGTCAGACTGGATTGTATTGCGTGTACACCATTACTGGGTTAATCATTCTTGCCATTTTAAAATGACGTCATTTAACGCCTTTTAGATGTGTTGTATACTTAGGATGACGTCATGACGCTGCTTACTAATTGGCGCCGATTTTATAGGTTTTATAAACTAATATGGATCAAACGTGTGGCGGAAGTGTATATAAGATATTATTTTAGCATTATATGAAAAGAAAACGTTGTAAGAACGTAAATATCAATAAAATTTGTTATTATTGTTGCCTTAAAAAAAATGTTAAGTAAACTATATTATCGAGAGAGCAAAAATAACAACCGCATATACATGTTATCACTTACCATTGTTTATTGGCAGTTTGAGACCTTTTTCTCCTTCTTTGTATATAGTGACAAAATCACGTGGAGTTTAAGAATTGTGTTTGTGTAAGATGAAATAAAATAACATCTTACACAACAAACAAACACTTTCTCTTTTATTTAATGCTTTAATACAATTAAAAATAAAATTTCCGTAATATTAACTGAAATATCAATATCGGTTTTCCCTACTGGTAGCGCTCAATTTCAGACGAATCTCTCATAAATACATGAAGTCTTGTCCTAACAAATCAGTTCAGAAATCAACTTTTAATGGCAATGATATTATTTGTTTTATTAAAAACATATGAATTATCGCTTGTTTTGATAATAAAAAATAAGCAAGTCTAGAAGAAGGAAACGTTACACAATGCCAAGCTTATTTCGTTATTTTCGGCGCCAATTTATATAAGACTATGCTTGTAATTTTAACAGTCACCATTTTTAAATTTGATTTGTAAGTCATGCATCTATCTATAGGAAAAAAAACTTATTTGAGTACTGTTACAGACAATAAATATTTTTTAGAGATATGTAAGCATTCAAATAACGACTATGAATTTGGAAAACAAGGTCTTTTTGAACGGATGTCTAACGAACTCTGGGTTGTTTACTTATTCTTCGGGCTGGTGACTGTCATTGATTTTCATATTGCATTAGGCAGTTATTGCTTGTAGGATGCTTAAGAATGCCCATTTGTCATCAAGACCAGGTTTGCATTTGGAAGGAGTTGTATTTTTCAGACTGTTAAAATGAAAAATTGTGTATCAATTACAGCTTTGCTTTTCTCTTAACAGCCCTGAATTAATGTCGGAATTGTAAGCAAAAATTAAATTGAGGTACGACATCGCGAAAACATTTAAACAAGAGCCACCGCCGGGCGGGGGCAACGCTCGACTTTTTACTTTTTCTAAACGCAAACATAGAAAGGTTTGAACATATATTGATGTTTCCTTTTTATAAATTTAGTTGGTCTGTCTTGTCACATTAGTTTTGTTTATATATTTTGTATATATATGAATAGAAACATTAAGCATATTTCTAAAAATAGCAACAGTACGCAATTTCTAAAAATAGCAACAATGACGCAATTTCTAAAAATAGCAACAATGACGCAATTTCTAAAAATAGAAAAAATGACGCAATTTCTAAAAATAGAAAAAAATGACGCAATTTCTAAAAATAGAAACAATGACGCAATTTCTAAAAATAGAAAAAAAATGACGCAATTTCTAAAAATAGAAACAATGACGCAATTTCTAAAAATAGAAAAAAATGACGCAATTACTAAAAATAGCAACAATGACACAATTTCTAAAAATAGAAAAAAATGACGCAATTTCTAAAAATAGAAAAAAATGACGCAATTACTAAAAATAGCAACAATGACGCAATTTCTAAAAATAGAAAAAAATGACGCAATTACTAAAAATAGAAACAATGACGCAATTTCTAAAAATAGAAAAAAATGACGCAATTTCTAAAAAAAGAAAAAAATGACGCAATTACTAAAAATAGCAACAATGACGCAATTTCTAAAAATAGAAAAAATGACGCAATTTCTTAAAAATAGAACAAAAATGACGAAAATTTCTAAAAATAGAAAAAATGACGCAATTTCTAAAAATAGCAACAATGACGCAATTTCTAAAAATAGAGAAAAAAATGACGCAAACTCTAAAAATAGCAACAATGACGCAATTTCTAAAAATAGAAAAAATGATGCAATTTTCTAAAAATAGAAAAACATGACACAATTATATACATGTATATATATGTATATATATATATATATATATATATATATTTGATATATATATATATATATTTGATATATATATATATATATCTATATATGTATATATATATATATATATATATATATATATATATATATATATATATACATGCATATATATATATATATATATATATATATATACCTGCATATATGTATATATATACACACACACATTTATATTTAATATATATATATAATACATATACTATACATACACACACACCGATAAATGCACAATCTGAGAAAATACAGTTATATAACCTTCAAGGTCAAGGTCAATAAAGAGCCCAAGCAAATTTGGGTTTGATAAACAACAAGGTCTGGTCCTTAAGAATGTTCTGTTATAATATGAAGTTTATCCCTTCAAAAATAGCAAAGTTACAGTCAGTTACTGCCAAAACAATGAAAATTTCAATAATTTGACCTTCAAAGGCAATGTCATTAATGAGTGAAGGTCAAGGTCTTTCGGTATATTTTTAACAGTTATCTTTGAAGATTATTATGTTTAAGTTTGAAGACAATCCATTCAAAAATAACAAAGTTACAGCCAATAATAGCCAAAAAAATGAAAATTTCAATAATTTGACCTTCAAAGTCAAGGTCATTGATGAGTGAATGTCAAGGTCTGACTGGTTATTTTTAAGGGATATCCTTGAAGATTATTATGTTCAAGTTTGAAGACAATCCATTCAAAAATAACAAAGTAACAGCCAATAACAGCATGAACAAGCAAAAATTGGACTTTTAACCTTGAAGGTCAAGGTCATTTATGGATGAAGGTCAAGGTTAGTGTGGTCTACTGAAAGGTCTTGTCCCAAAGGTTGTTGTGGCCAAGTATGAAGACAATACACCAAGAAATAAAAAAGTTATGATCCAGGTACAAGTTTTCGGACGGCAACGGCAACGGCAACGGAGACGGCAACGGCAACGCCGACCTGACTATAACAATACCTCTACTTTTTTTTTTCAAAAAAAAAAAAGTCGAGCTAAAAAGAAGTACTGTAACCCAATTTATATTCGCGAATACAAATTTTCGCGTTTTGCCGAGGTCGGACATATTCGCGAATATTAATTTCCGCGTTTTCTTGATTTCCGAAAAAAAAATTCGCGGATTGGAAAGTCCGATGGGGCCGTAAAATCCATTAGCCGACTATTAATCTTCAATAATTGAGGTCATTATTGGTGTCTTAAATGGGATTAACAATACGCTAGCCTTATATTGTATTGGTAAGTGAATTGTGATCACAATTCAGCAAAACATTTTCTCTATAAGTTTGACGGGTAAAAATCGATACTAGTATGAAACCATCTTGTATTTCACTGTTTGTAATTATGTACACCCAATACCCTTTTGTGATGCTCGATAGGTTTATACCACCTTTGTCTTAACAATTCACTCAAACAATTATTTTATAGGATCCAAAAAACAATAGCCTTTTGTGATGCTCGATAGTTTTCCCACTTTTGTCATACGATTTATTCAAACATTTATTTAATAGGGTCCAAAAAGTGCGAGTACTTTGTATGCATATACTTAGTATAGAAGTGTAAATATGAAGAAACTTAAAACTGACACATGCTCCGTATAGTACCCTATACGGAACGTGATTGACAATAGGCCTACTAGTATTTCATAAACTGTATTAAAATGTGGATGTTTATTTTGATTGCTATATTGACATAGAGTTCTTTTGATATTTATAAAATAGTAATAGTTTACTTAGTTTGTGTTTTTATTGCTTTATAGAAAATATTCTTAACAATGCATTACTTCCTAACAGGTGCCCGTAAAATTCGAATATATCCGGTCATGTAGCTTTGCATGAACAACGTCTAAAATAAAAATTTCTCTCCAATTTATACGCGAAATCGTGCGAATTTATTCGCGCAAACAAATATTCGCGCTTCGTGGCCATCCGCGAATAAAGCGAATATTAATTGGTCGCGAATATTCGTTGGGTTACAGTATCGTTATTGAAAAGTGCGGAATTATATTGTAATATTTTTTACTGTGAAATTATCAAAAATAATTTCACGGATAAATCAGTAATCCAATCAAACACATAAGATAAAAATGCTAATTAAGATAATTGTCAGATTGTTTGTGGTAATTTGTACAAGTGCATGCATATTTGAGACAAAACCTGTGCGAAGAATAAAATCGACTTTTGTTGCATGTATAAACAATAATTTTATAAATTTATATTTTTCATGATAAAATGGCGATTATGTAGAGTTGCTTGTATACTTTACGGTAGCAGTATATTCGAGGGAAAAACGCTTGACGTCATCGACTTGTAATACTTATGTTCAATTATGAATTATGATTTTATTTATTCTTTACGAAATATTCATCGTAGTGTAGGTTGTTTATTGTACAGTCATAACAAATGTTAAAGGTAATAAAGGCAAAGGAGTAAAAAATGTTTTACTTTTGTTAGTTTGCTTGTAAAGGACAAACCGATGAATGAATATAAATCAACTGCGCCGCGGTTAATATGATAAATAGTGATCATCTAAGTTAAAATGCATGATTAAACATTAGCATAGAAAAATCTACAAAAAAAATGTGTTTTCTTGCACTTCCAGTCGCAAAGACAAGACATATCTATATATAATTGTATTTAATCATCGTAAAGTATATCAACTTCCTAAGAATATGGTGTCAATTTCATGAACAAAAAAATATTTATTTTTTTAAAATTGAACATTAGTTGATGATTTAAAGGAAAACGTAGAAAGCAAACAAAAACAAAATGGACAGACTTACATGTCACATTAACACTGACGTCTCTGCTTAATATGTCAGCCTTGTCAAATCGGGTCCTCACTTCACAATACAGATGTAAGTTATTTATAGTTCTATTTGGTCTCAAATGTAGAACACTATTGACGGCTCTAAGACCATATTCACCATTAACGTATCTGTTGGTTGAAAACTGTGTCAGATTATTTATGATCTGGTTATTACTATTACGTAGATACCATTGTACTCTTGGTTCTGGTCGACATGCTGATGTGCTACAGGAGATATTTTTGTTCTGATTTTCCTTCATGTAATCCCCATTTTGTTGACTTAATGTAACGCTTGTAGCCGGGACTGTTAAAATATTAAACATGAAATTATGTAGATTTAGTACTAAAATTTAAACAATAGACATATATGTAGATGTGCAAAATCCAAAATGGGTTTTTTACTCGTCAAAGAGGTAAAATAAAATGCCTTTCAATCTTGATATTAATGTAAAGTTTATTTGCATACAGTAGCGTTACATTTGAACCAATAACAGTCTCTTTGATTTATTTTGTTAATACTTGGAGTTTGAAAGATGAAAGATACATCAATCTTAAAACATTTATTTAATGAATTTTGATAAAGAAATCATTTAAATGTAACTAACACTTTTAGTATTTCATTTATTAGGTCGCATTGTTTTTTTGTTGTTTTTTTTTTGCTATAAATAATTACTTTTGCAACATATGATTGCATGTAAACAAAAGTAAACAAACATAGGTAAACAATTAATAAGTGAAATGTATATGGCAAAACTAATTTTTAAGACAATGTAAGCATAGCATATATAGCTACTTAAAACCTAACTCTCAGTATTGAAATTGTTAAAAAATGATCAGCAATAGTTGCACATAAATTATTAGGATTTGTAACTGTTATATTACCTGACACTTCTATAACGACTTTATTTGACATTGATAAAAGCTCAGAACACATCCATTCAGCTCCATGTTGAGTACGATCAATCTTTTTTAGAACCACAGAATAAGTACCGTTATTGTTACAAACACCACTAAAAAAATCACTGTCATGTAAAAAACGTGATGTGTTACATTTTCCGTTTGAGTAAAATAAATTTGCGTCACCAGAAATCTGAGAGTTAAACCAAAGAGATTCGCTCATAATTTCATTTGTTTTCGAACATGTGAGTGTTGCACTTGAATTTTCTACGGCATATAATCGAGTTGGTGTCAGCTGAATCATGTTCGTCCATGCACCTATGTAAGATAAATATTCAGTTAAATAATATGTGCTGTGGTTAGAACATGGTCTTGAAAACAAGTAATAAATGACTGACGTACTTTGTCTGTTTTCCTAGTCAAAAAACCTAAATATTCGAATCTTATTAAATCAGATCCTACAACTCACCACTCTACAGGTAAGAAATAAATATTCTGAGTCCGATTGATTTCAAATCTCATTGTGTTTGTCAATATGTAAAACGCAAAAAGAACTAGCTTGTAAATAAGGAAAATTAATATGTGAATAATGTTTACACTGGTACAATTATATGATAAAATCTGTTTTAAGGACGAGTTCAAATAGATCTCGAATGTCATTTACCGTTTATTTACTTGTATTTGGTGTTACATGATATTGTTTAATATGAATAGTAGATTATTGATGACAACTAAAACTTGTAATTATCAAATTTTAAAAAATTTAGGCATCGATTGTGGTAAAATATAAAATATTGCTTATTATGAAACTCAGTTGAAAAAAAACGGTCACTTCTATATCGTTATGGAAAAGACTTACCAATATCAGAGAATAATAATATATAAAACAAACAACATCCTTTAGTATACATTTTGCTCAGCATTGATCCATTCCTGAAAAATGTATTTGACATCATGTTCAATTATGTATTTGTACATGAATTATATAAATTAATGTGTATGCTATGTTGTAAGTTAAGTTTATATAAAAATGAATTTGTTATATAATGAAAAAAATAATAAACAGATACCCTATAATATTCTACGATTTATTTCTGAAAGAAAGGTGTGCTCTTGTTAGATGTTTCTTTAAAAAATCAACACAATGCGATAAAAATAGATGAAAGCATCAATATTTATATGACATGGAACGCAGCTTCTCGATAATGTACCATGAAGGCTGTAGTTTTTGTTGGTTCATGAGGTTCCCGCGGAAATAGTAAGTTCAAAAGCGAAGATAAGATCAAATACTGAATCACAGCTTTCCTTAGTATTAATTCATCAGCTTAGTAAAACTCATTATAGGAATTAACTATGCAGTCGAATTCAGTATTTATTGGCAGTTTAACATAAGCATATGATAAGTGAGAAGAATAGAAATCAAAGCACTGAAAGCACTGGAGGGTCGCTTGCGTGACAAGTTTATATGACATTATACTGCTGGTGATCACTTGAAAGGCCAAATTTCCTGTCCTTTTGCAACTTTTTCGAAAAGTTCATGTCATATTCAAGTGGAAATGATTGAGTACAAAGGAAAGTGCAATATGTTGCCATATGATTTAAGTCAGGGAGATTTATCATTGACATCCAACAATTACAACACGGTTTATCAAAATTACTAAACTTTTTTTCTCAAGTGCTTCAGTTGAGATCGAAAAACCAAATTGCTTTATATCCTCAAAATAATACTTTGAAAGTTGGATAAAGTTTAAGAGTACACTTCTGACATAAGCAACAGCTGGAAGTACATAACCAAGTCCTCTATTAAACAATGGCTAAGCATTGTTAATTTCATCTTCTTATAAGGCATATGAAAAACATGCTCATTCTTGGGGATTATAGTTATTATCAATCTGATATTCAAGTAATCATTAACCCATGTTCATATAGACTGGATAGTATTCAAACAACTCAAAAAGAAAATGGTTGAAAAATCTTTCAGTTAATATGCATACTAGTAACCAGTGTTCCATCAGGGATAAACGAATACATGACTATCAATGTCACAATTTCATTCTGAGAGATTCATGAAATTCTCACAAAGCTATAAGTCAAGAATGATCAGTTAAATTTAGAACTATTACTAAATGTGATTAATACCCCCACAAGACTGCTTTGGACATGAGGATGTTATAAGTAACAGAATACCTTGTAAAAGAATTGAAATAGAGTTATGTTTGTGGGCAATTAAAGATAGTTGTGGTTCTTGTATGTTGCATTTCCTTTCAATGTGGTTGACCATTGATGAAGTTTTATTAAATTACTCTGTAATAAGTCCAGAAAGACAGGGAAAAGGATCAAAGGACAATAACTTTATAAATACTGCAAATGGAGTTATGGTTATTGTACACGACACTTCCTCTCATTTCGCTTGACCATTGTATGAAGTAGTATTGAATTCCAACTACTAGTTTTCAAGTTATGCACTGAACAAAGGGCACTAACTGTAATTAGCCCAAATAGAGTTCTGGTTCTTGTGCAGTGTACTTCATCTCACTGCCCTTGACCATTGTATAAAGTTTCATTGAATTCTTTTTAAGTAATACACTGGCATTAAAAAGTAGCAAAAACTTTTAAATGAGTCAAGAAAGAGTCATGGTTTCTGTGTACTGCACCTTCTCTTAATATACTTGGCCATTGTATGAAATAGTATTGAATTCCAAGTAGTAGTTTTCAAGTTATGCTATGGACAAAAAAAACAATGAAAAAGTAACAAAGGGCAATAACTCTGTAATTAGTCAAGATGGAGTTATGGTTCTTGTGCACTGCACTTCCCCTTATTGTACTTGACCATTGAGCATACCAACTACTGCTTGGTATTCAATACATCTTCGTACAATGGTCTTGTGCACTGTACTTCCTCTAGCCTCTAGCCTTAAGTTTGTCAATTCAGAGTAGAAGATTTTTTAAGTTTGTATTATATACATATAAGGAAAACCTATGACCCCCGGGGCGGGGCCAATTTTGACCCAAGAGCTTCAATTTGAACAGTTTTGGTAGAGGACCTATAGATAATATTACATAATAAATATCTAAGCTCTAAGCCTTGTACCTTCAAACAAGAGCATTTTTTAAGTTTTTACTATATCGGATAAGGAAAACCTATGATCCCCTTGGGCGAAGTAAACTTTGACCCCAAGGCTATAATTTGAACAACTTTGGTAGAGGACCTAAAGGTGATATAACATACCAAATATCTAAGCTCTAAGCCTTGAACCTTCAGACAAGAACATTTTCTAAGTTTTTACTATATACATATAAGGAAAACCTATGACCCCCGGGGCGGGACCAATTTCGAACCCAGGGCTTTAATTTTAACAACTTTGTTAGAAGACTTATAGGTGATATCATAGACCATATATCAAAGCTTAAGGCCTTGTACTTTCAGACAAGAAGATTTTCTAAGTTTTACTATATACAAATCAAAACACCTATGACTGCCAGGGCGGGGCCAATTTTAACCCAAGGGCTATAATTTGAACAACTTTCGTAGAAGTCCAATTGATGATATTACATACCAAAGATCTAAGCTCAAAGCCTTGTACCGTCAGACAAGAAGATTTTCTAAGTTTTTTCTATATACATATAACCCCCTGAGATGAGGCCAATTTTGACCCCAGGGCTTTAATTTGAAGAACTTTGTTAGAGGACCTATAGGTGATATCATATACCAAATATCAAAGCTTAATGATGTGTACTTTCAGACAAGAAGATTTTTAAGTTTGCATTTTTAAACACATTTTATGGCCCCGTGACCTACTTATGCAACAGACTTGAACCATTTGAACAATTTTGTCAGGGGACCACCCAAGGATTATTCCTGCAAAGTTTGGTTACTGTGCAGTCTTTGGTTTCTGAGGAGATGTTGTTTAAAGAAATTTTACCGACCCTCGACAACGGACGGTGGGGGATCACAATAGCTCACCATGAGCAATTTGTGCTAAGGTGAACCAAAAATTAATGATCAAAGAACAAGTTTGTGGATGACCTCGGCAATGCCAACATGACTGTAACAATACCTCTTTCTTCAAAAAAGAAGTTCGAGCTAAAAGGGGGCATAACTGCATCAAAAATAATTTATTGCGGACAAATTGAACTAAATCTGTCTTTTGATACTAACATGGCAAATATTATCATTTCCTTCACATAAGTTGTCCTGCAGAAATCAATTTAACACCATACCTTATAGCATGCTTTTCAGTAAAAAATGACATTACTTTTAGTTTATTTCACAATAAACTATAAAATAACTTCAAAAGTAGCCAGACTTTATTTGAATGAGAATGAAAAGCTTACATTATAAACAAACAGAAATTTCGTGGGAAATACATTTATTTCTCAGAAAAATGTGATAAATAAAGAGTAGATAATTAATATTTGCAAATCATGATAGAAATTAAACACATTCAGGAAATATGATAGAATCACTTTCAGATATAAACATTGAGAATTTATGATTCTACACAGTAAAAAAAATCTGCTCTCTTTTGCTTGTATGATGGGCTATAGACCTCGGACATAATAAGGCGTCATATCTGAACTATTTTCAGCCACAGTAAAATAGCAGCCTCCATTTACCAACATTGTGGCAAAGTTAGACATTGTATATGTTTTTCAATGCCATTCATGAAAATATTAAATCTGGTGTTCACTCTATGAAATGTATTTAGATCTTGCATGCAAAAGAAACAAATACCCATTATATGATATGTTCAAAATTTCTTCATGCTTACAAAAATTATATATTTATGTAAATTAGTTCATAAACATGCAAAACTGAAATTTCATTGTTGAGTGTTTTTGTAAAACAGCCATACTCCAAGACTTACAAGTTTTCTGTGGCATTATATTATCCAAAATTAACAATATTTGGAAATAATGGAGAACAAAAATATTAACAAATACATGTATAAAATAAAACCCATGTATATTTAATGTCAATTTATAGTTGAAACTGCGGAATTTAGCATGGTCAACTTCTGAAGGGATTCCAGTTCAATTAATCTTGTCTCTTATAACTGAACCTACAAATATCTGAAAATAAAATAAAATTGTCAGGTTGCAATTAATTGTTTATCTGGCACTGAATATATTCAACATCATAAAGACAATGTGATCCATTCTTAACAATTTACCAGTAAAATCGAAGACATATTTCTTCTATAATGATTTTAACATATCTTTGCATGAATTATCATTATGATAGTAAAGCTCACACTACTATGTAAAATGCTACTTTCTGGTCATAAGAATATCAAAAGCAATGGATGGTGTGATATTCAGACTTAATTAACTTTACAAATACTGCTGAAAAACAAACACGAGTATTGTCAATTACTTTCAATTAAATGGACAAATATTGGTTTCCATTAATGCTGCTGTAATAAAAAGAATAGAACATCACATCACTTCTAACTGCAAGCAGAACCATAGTGTATTCTGGTGTCAGGAAAATAATTATTATAGCTTATTTTCGTATCTCATGCTTTCTTTATATGGATAAAAGTAAAAATTTAAATGGAATATTATACCTCAATTGGTATTCTGTATGCTGAAGTTTCCTTTTGACATAGTAAGCTTCACTTTAATTAAGTTGTTCCAGAAATAATACATTGTTCTACTGGGTACTTCAGACAGCTTCATTTGAACAGAGTGGGCAACTTCTTACTGCAAAGTGTGAGCATTATTTGTTCAAATACAAGAAACTAGAAGCAAGACATAATCTGTTATTGTTTTTCAAACAAATAATTTAAAATTTAACTTTTGAATGGATGTTCACTATAAGCAGACATTTCATTTTTTTTAATTTAAAGTTAACATGTATACAATAATATATATTTTTTGTATGATTACTAGTCCTACAATGCATTAATGTAATTCTGGAAAGGAGAATTTTAATTTTAAATATTTTGTCTTG